GGTGGCGCGGTGGTGGGGGGGGTGGAGGTAGTTTTAGCGGGGGGGGCTGCTCCTCTCTGCTGTTCCTCACTGACAGCTGCAGCCTGGTCTCTCCCAGACTCCACAACCTGAAAACACGTTTCATCAAACATTCATGTCACCACATTTCATCAGACATGTTTTACATGGTTAGCTTCGTGACCTCCCTGCAGCACGGATGTGGGCTCAGCTCGTGGTGCTGAACGTCCCGCCTCACGCATGTGCACGTGCTGTTTGGTTCTGCAGCGCAAAGACATGGCCTACTGAAGAGAAGCTATCATAACATTATGTTTGTAGCCCTATTTGTATGTTTTCTAATGGACTGGATACACAATTACTCTTTCCCTTATGACATACTACACTATAACTTTGGAATGATATACTATGACCTTTCAATGAAACACATACTAGGCTATGACCTTTTAAAAAAAATGCATCATAATGACACTTTTACACTCTTTATTAAGATCAATTTGAGTGATAGGCATTCATAGTAAATACATATGTATACATAAAACATTATAATCAGTTATATTGAAGCATGTATTCATTTAAATGCATTAAACTTATGACACTTCATGGACTATATAGCACACTAAATGTCCTTAATACAGTTAATTGTCGAGGTGTGTTTTGGCGATTGCATGTAGTTAAAATGTATTAAAATTAAGATAATAAAGTCAGGTTTATAATTAGCCAAGAGCATAAATGCCACTAAAAATATTTCAAGCATTATTTGTATTTATGAATCACTATGAATGCCTCCATGATGCACCACACTGTAGATGCCGTCTTCATAGAAATGGTCCCCATTATGGGTTACGACATACTATACAGCCTACAGAGAGCCCTAAAGTAAATTAATATAATTTGAAGAGCAGCATTTTAGAATTGAAATGCTTGTATTGACCCCCCACCCTCCCCCCGCAGCCCCCCAGCAGACAGACATAATCAGATTACACAGACAGACACGCCTGCTGACCCTGCTCCGCCATGTTTTGTTGCCTATGTTGCAAAAAATAATTCTGAGCGGGTTTATGAACATACACAAAAAGAGAAAGATCAGTAAGCATGCAAAATTAATACAAAAATTGTTGATTTCTGAATATGATTTAAAAAAAATCCCACAATGCAATTCATAAAAGGAGGCAGAGGATCTACACACAATAGATGATACACCCGGAGCTAAAATCTTTAAAAAATATATATTAACAGGAAGTAGATAAGATGTTATATTCTTAAGAAACAAGGTTATGTTTTTGTTTACATTGATATGAGTATTTGTTAAAGCTGTTCATAAAGGCCTAAATTACCAGTGACATGATGGTGCGTATTTCTTTTTTTTGGTACAGTAACTCACAGTAAATACCAGTTACTTTACAGATTCTAATATAATATATTTGGATTATTAAAAATACAATCTCCAAATACATCATGCTGTAATATTATGGGTAAAGATACAACTTAATTGCTTCATTAGTTACCAAGCAGTAAATATAATTAAAAAGCAAATATGATGTGTAAATAATTACAATTATGCATTTGATATTAATTGTTCTGACATTCTGCATAATGTGTAGTTTCACTTTGGTACTGTAAGTATAATTTGATACTAGTACTTTTGGACAAAAGTGTACATACAGGACTTTTATTTGAGTATTTCGGCACTTTTATATGACTTGAATCAGTTCCCTTGGCACGTTCTGCCCCCACTGTATTTCTGTAGCAAACACTTTGTGTGTGTTGTTGAATAAAAGCAGGATGGGCTGTGACCATCAGTAGTAATAGTAAACAGCCACACATAAGGACTAGTAGCTACTGTTGTGATTAGCCTCTGCTAATACCCCCGCTTCAGAATGAGCTGGGATTGTCCCGCTCTGCATTAAATAAACCCCCCATGCTCCAGCCATTGTCTTAATCTGCTAATCACATCAGTGCAGCATCGCCGAGCTCCAGCTCATGGTTAGTAAATAAGCGCCAATCAGTTCTCCAGCCTGGCTGTTTTCAGGGTTCTGATGAGGGCAAATCATATGGGCGTAACGTGTTGTACTGTACGTGTGCTCATTCTAGCTAAAGCTTTATAAATGAACATTTCATTCACTATATTATGTTTTAAACATGTAGCCTGTAGTGTGCACCCTGTAAACACTGCAGCTTCAAAAAAAAGACGTTACCTCTTCTTGTGTTCAGCTCCAAAATGTGATGCATGACATACCAAAGAAAACCACTGACACAAAAGCAGCTGAAGTTCTTCCTTGTTCACAGAATGACACCGCTTCCTCCTCTTTGATACACAAAACCACATTTAAACTGACCTAAAAAGTACTTTCTATAAATCTGTAAACCATGACTGCAGTTTGTTCTAGGATCCAAACTTCTGTCAAATGTGTAAATTCACCATCTTCTCTATTTTAGCTTTAGAATATAAACTTGTACTTGTGTCTTACCCCAGGTTGTCCCCAGAGAGTTCCAGGAGCTCGATCTCATCCGGGCCCACCTCGTCCACCCCAGTGTTCCTCTGGGTCACACCACAGCATCCCATAACGGCCTGTCTCAGCTTCTAGTCCGAACACTGAGACCATCTGCCCCACTGGGAGTGTGCCACGCTCAAAACAAAAGAGATCACAGCAAAACTCCAAAAGAGGATATTGAGTGCTGGTGATGAGAGGGG